AAAATGTCCAAGAAAAGGCAAAATTGACATATAGTCAACAGAGCTATTCCAACATGCAGCCACCCAGAGTAGCGCAGTTCTGGAATGGAACCACCACCCCGGTCTGCCAGTCCAGTGGGACTGCCCCCGATGTCCACGCGATATTTCAGAGCCGTGTCAGCCAACACAGCCCCACAACATCCAGAGCCTTAAGGAAACCCGGGCGGATCTCATCCACCCCTGGAGCCTTGCCACAGAGGAGCTTTTTAACCACCTCAGTGACCTCAGCACCAGAGATTTGAGAGGCCAACTCAAAGTCCCCAGACTCAGCTTCCTCACTGGACGACGTGTCGGTGGGATTGAGGAGGTCTTCGAAGTATTCTGCCCACTGATCCACAACGTCCTGGGTAGCACCTTTTATTTAAAATATAAATTTTAGACCTGTTGTAATATAAGGGCTTCAACGTGTTTAAAATGAAAGATGGCCTTTAAACATAAATGAAAATGCGTGGTTATCAAAACCGGTTGATAGTCACTGCATTTATTTAGAGAGGCAGGAAAAATGCGTAAAAATAATAAGTCCAGTGAAGAAATTATTAAAAATGAACAAATACATAATCTGTAAAAACATTGTTGAACATTTTATTTGCTGTTTCAAAATGCATAACAAGTTCCTACTCCAGGATTTCATGTCGTCAAACAAACTATTTGGGAGCTGTATTACATTGAATGAGACAGTGGAATCCGACGAGGTTGGTATGTGATACAGCCGGAGTCTGATCAAGTGTCCGTTTATGAGTAGGGAGAGAGAAAGTGTTGACAAAACACAAATAACCAATTAAATAATGCATTGTTTTATGGCATAGTTTTCTCTTACATCTTTGATCCAAATCATCACAACAGGGTTCTACATTTGCATGAAAGAGGTATAATTGTCTGTTCCTGTAGCTTAAAAGCGTTTGAAACCACATCTGAAACCAATACTGAAGAAGGGGCACTCACCCCAGTTTCACAATGAAAGTATCAGCGGTGCGGAACGGCAGCAGTATGTCACTGCTTCAAATAAAATCTATTATAGGCTATTAACTGTTTCAAACCAGCAGCGATGCGGCAATTTCCAAGCATGTCTCTGGAGCGACACACCACGCCACTAAAGATAGGATCGGGTTCTATTTTTGCCACAAGCCGCTTCTAGGACACGTCAATTTCCGCAGTTAACATAGGGCTAGACAGGAAATCATACACAGTTTCAGTGTAAAATCCCCAGGAATTTTCAAAATAAAAGTACTGCAACAATGCAATTTCATACGAAGCTTACGTATGACCTAACAACTTATTTACGCACAGCATTGTTTCAGAAGTGCAGCGGTGTCTTTTCATGGCTTTTGCCCTGGCGGTGGATTGGAACGTCATATATGACATCAAACAGCAATTATAAAAGTTGATTTCCTTCTTTTTGGTTTAATGGTAGATTGCATAAACAAACAGTGAATTTCATTGTCGACGTTGTCGCCAGATGTGTTTTTTTCCCCGAGTGAGGCATCTCACTTCATTACAATCTCTGCCGAGAGTCGCACATGCGCAATAGCTTCTCTGCTGAGCGCCAACCAAAAGAAATGGCGGCGTCCGCGTCCAACACATCAGCTACGCGTAAGTTTGGGAGCATTCTAGCCTGGATTCGGGGAATAAAAAGATTACCTGCTTTATTTGCAAAGCAGTCCTTGCGTATCACGGCAGCACCTCGGTGAGGCATGAACACTTAAAGAGAAAGCATGTTAGACAGTTGAATGAAACAATGTCTGAATCACCTCCGTAAGATTTAAATAACACAAAAGCCAATACGTTTTTGTTTTGGCTGTGCATTGTACATTTTTTTAAAACATATTTTCGCTTTCAAAAAAAGAGAGATTTAATGTTATGCCTGACTGTGCCTGACAAAAGTATTTTAATTTTATTTATGCATTTATGTCTATACTGACTGAGCACTGTGCCTAATTGGTGTTAGATAGGGCGTTTTTATTTACTTTTAGTATGAATTGGCCTATCAGCAGCAAAGTTCAATAAAATATGCATTTTCCATTGAAGTACCCATCTTTCTTGTGTTCATTATCATTTTTCACATAATTAAAGCAATCTCATGCAAAATTTAAGAAAAATTTAATAATTATCAGCGTTTCAATAGTCGGTGACTAGTCGACTATTATAATAGTCATTAGTTGCAGCCCTAGAGTCCAGTGAGGCAGACGTGCCTCTGCCAAGACTCTCCCGGTGTGAAAAGGACCGCTGCAGTTTCGCCCTGCTGATGTTTCCTATGTGAAGCTGGCATTAGAATCAGTGATTTATGCTTTTATAACCTCCCACCTTGACTTTGCCAATGCTCTCCTAATCGGCACCCCTGTCTCAGCTCTGAATCGCGTTCAGGTTGTTCAAAATGCTGCTGTCAGGTTTCTGACAAGCATCAGCCGCCGTAGTCGTATTACTCCTGTCCTTGCACAGCTTCACTGGCGTCCCTTTTCTTCTAGAGTTTGTTTTAAGGTTTTGATTTTCATGTTCAAAGCCCTTAACAGCCTGGCACCACTCTATCTAGCTGCTTGCTCCTTATGTCCCTGGTCGAGCCCTGAGGACTGCAGGTCTCATTGCCCTCCACGTCCTGGATGAGATACAAAGCACAGGGGGAGCAGGCATTTGTGTGCTGCCCCTACTCTTTGGAAATCACTTCTGCTGTTGATTAGACAGGCTCCATCTCTTGCCTCTTTTAAATCTCGTTCAAAAACGCATTTTTGTGATTTATTCGTTGGCCTGTGATTTTATGACCATGTCTGTGATTATTTGTATTTGTTGGTCTTATTGTTTGTTTTATCAGCTTTTACTTTATTGTGTTGCAATGTATTTTATAGGAAGCACTTTGGTTAGCTCTCATGCCGTGTGTAAAGGTGCTATACAAATAAACTGATATGGTATGGTATGTAGCGATAAATATATATTTATATCTGTATTTATCAAATGTGTAGACTTAGCTTGTTTTCGTTGTTTATAATTTTATATTAATTAATCAGGGCACCACCCTGTCTTTGTTAGTGTGAACTGGGGACACTCGAAGCTGAGTTCTTGTCAGAATGCGCCGACTATTCTCGAGATCGCTAGAAAATGATCAGGCATGATTTACATTTTGTGAATTTATTACAAACATCAGTTGAGACATTGACAAAAAGGACCAAACGCAGCTTATCGTTTCATGCATGGAATTAAGACAATTGTTAACCCAAAGCTTTATGGCAGAGATATGAAATAACTGACCTGTAATAAAGGTGGAAACTTTGTGAAACACAAGAATATAGTAAATTGGGGAGTAATTTCTACAGGGGAAACACGTGAACTTTCATGTGAGTTTGTGGGAAGTGGTGAAGTGTGTGTGTGTGTGTGTGTGTGTGTGTGTGTGTGTGTGTGTGTGTGTGTGTGTGTGTGTGTGTGTGTGTGTGTGTGTGTGTGTGTGTGTGTGTGTGTGTGTGTAAGCGAACTAGGAGTCATTGTGGCAGAAGAAGAAAGGGAAATCTTGAGGGCTAAACGTGAATTTGGATCTAAATAAAACATGCCAGAAAAGAAATAGAATAATCTGAATTCACGAATCGGCTTATAGCAGAAAAGGTCAGCCAGATGAAAATGCTTCACAGACCTGCTTTCCATCGCCGGAAGGGTTGCCAGTGGCTGAAACAGCCTGGGGTCCTGGCTCGTGCCGAGGCTTTTTGGACTAATTGGTGCTGGCTCCCGGGTCGGTCAGCGTCGGTCGTGGGAGGGAGGATGTGGTATTCCTTGATCGTGGCTTGACTTTCGGTTCCTCCAGCTGCACCAAATGTGGAATTCAGATCGCGGGTTCGAATTATCCAAACCGAAGTCGAATCAGAAAAACTGTTCAAAATTGGTTTTAACTCTTAATGCGAGAACTCGACAGGACCACGCCAACATCTGGTTTCACGTAGAAAGTCAAAACAAAACAAATGGAGTTGCCTCTGAGTTTTACTGAAACTCTTGACAGCTAATTACTTGACAACTGTAGAGTGCCAGGTTCTGCTAGGCCAAGATGGAAAGCCACAACAGAGGTACGCTTAAGGCATCTTTTTTCTTTGTTCTGCTGCCACGAGAATGAACTCTGGCCTCTTATAACCTTACTTGGTCACACCCACCTGTATTTCACTCATTAACCACTGGATGACACTGTTCACAATTTACCAAACTTATTCCAGCTGAGGCATCAAAAGTATTACTTTAAACAGGAGAACTAACTTCAGGTCTTAAAACTGGACAGTTTTACCATTAGCATGAATTTTAACTGGAAAAACAAAAATGGCAGATGTTTAACATGAAAGAAGAGCACAAACAAGCATTTAGGTTTGTAACTGATAAGAATTTAACATTTACTTTGAACACCTCAAATTTAATTTTAAGGGTAAACAACCTAAACACCTTCTTTGATTGTAGATAAACAGGAATACAAGGTTTATAAAGACTCGAGTCTTGAAGCTCCCAGGAGGACCTAAGAGAAATTCTATGACTTCCCCCATCTTGAGAAAAGGGTCAGTCTTGGAGTTGACGTAAAACAGGCCAGTTTCTGATATCAGTCCTGCGCCTCCGATTGGCGCAGAAGGGAGACCAGTCAAATTGGTGCAATTTACAACCCTGGGAGAGAATTGTAGAAGTTAACCAGAATGCTGAAGCAGCAGGCCATTTTCAAGTTTCCCTTTTTTCCTGCTAAGTGTGAGAGGAAACAAAACTTTGTGAAAATAGTTATGTTCTTCTTTGTGTGAATCCAACGAAAGTTAATCTGAGAATATAAAATGTGGATTTCCACTACAGGTAAAAATATCTTGTTACAATACATTTACAATTTATAACAATTGTGTTGTTAATTGTGAGTTACCTATGAAACTCGTGTGATTGATAACTTATAAAAAAAAGGTTGTGTCAGTTGATGGCTGTAATTGTTACATTAATCAATGTTTTCTTTTGTCTTTTATCTTGTCCAGAACTTCCACAGCATCATGTCTGGGAAAAAGAGGAGGTTCTGACTGACCAGCAGCATTTGAACCAGGAGAAAACCACCACTTTGGATCAGAAGGAACCGGAACCTACACTGATTAAAGAAGAACAGCAGGAACTCTGCATCTGTCAGCATGAAGGGCAGTTCATTCTAAAGCAGGAAAATGTTACCGTCACCGTGAATTCTCCTTCTGAAGGAACAGACAGCTTTAAACCAGAACCAAAGAGGAACCAACCCTTTTGCCAGAATTCTACTGGAGCTGAGAACCAAGGTCAGGATGGATGCAGGAACGAAACATCAGAACCAAACACCAATGAAGAACTGACACAAAATAAAAGACATCGACAAACGAAAGATCACAGAGACAGTGTAGACAGTCAGAAAATAAAAAGGCACAAGAGGGCTTATAGAGATGAGAGGCAATTTTCATATAAACTCTGTGGAAATTCTTTCAGTGACAAGTCTTTTATAACTGTTCACATGAGAACTCACAGAGATGAGAAGCTGTTTCCATGTAAAACATGTGGTAAATGCATATCTCAGACTAGTGCTTTGACTAAACATACAAGAACTCACACAGGTGAGAATCCATTTGCATGCAAGTCTTGCGGTAAATGTTTTACTGACGATGCCAACTTGACTAGTCACATGATAACTCACACAGGTGGGAAACCATTTAGTTGCGAGTGTTGTGGTAAATGTTTTACCAAAAGTAGTAACTTGATGAGTCACATGAAAACTCACACAGGTGCGAAACCATATGCATGTAAAACTTGTGGTAAATGTTTCTCACAGATTAGTGATTTGACTAAGCATGTAAGAACTCACACAGGTGAGAAGCCATTTTCATGTGAGTGTTGTGGTAAATGTTTCACCAACAGTAGTAACTTGACTAGTCACATGAGAACTCACACAGGTGAGAAACCACATGCATGTAAAACCTGTGGTAAGTGTTTCTCTCAGACTAGTGATTTGACTAAACATATAAGAACTCACACGGGTGAGAAACCATTTACATGCGAGTCTTGTGGTAAATGCTTTACAGACAATAGTAACTTGACTAGTCACATGAGAACGCACACGGGTGAGAAACCCTTTACATGCGAGTATTGTGGTAAATGTTTCACTAACAGCAGTAACGTGACTAGTCACATGAGAACTCACACAGGTGAGAAACCATTTGCATGTAAAACTTGTGGGAAATGTTTCTCTCAGACTAATGATTTGACTAAACATATAAGGCGTCACACAGGTGAAAAACCATTTACATGTGAGTCTTGTGGTAAGTGTTTTACTGACAATAGTAACTTGACTAGCCACATGAGAACTCACACGGGTGAAAAACCGCATGCATGTAAAGTTTGTGGTAAATATTTTGCTCGAAGTGGTAGCTTGACTAAACACATGAAAACTCAGCACAGGTGAGAAGTCTTTTCCATGTTTGATCTTTAGAGCGAGATTCAACCAAACAGTTTTTAACTACTCATGTGAAAATTCACACTTGATATCTATTTAGAAGTTAAGAATTTAGATTTTGAAAAATTTTCATCCTTGATGCCTTAAAGCAGAACTCTCACCCCTCGTGTCTCCTGTCATTCCTAGGCTACATCCGTCTGATACCAGAACAGGCATTGCCACGGTAAACAATAGAATGCTAAACCCTGGTTGCTTAATCTTAAGTTCAAACATCTTTTGTTTTGTTTTTCTATTTCGGACTCTTAAGAGTTTGAGTGGAGAACTTTTGTGACCTGTTGCAAAATGTGCAAGTGCATAATGAGTGGAGGACACAGGTAAATGTGGTGGTCCATTAAGACAGAAAACCAGATGGTCTAAACGTTGGTTTCAGACCAAGCCGTGTTATTGGCTGAGGTTTTTAGAAAGATGTGAGAGAACCACATAAAAATTTTTTTTTCATTTTCTTCTTAACTCATTCACTGCCAGCCGTTTCCTGATTGGTAAAGCCCTTTGCTGCCAGCGTTTCTCACCGTTGTTACTGTTTTTTTAAGAGTCACAGAACGTTGCGCGCTAGGATGATGTCGACGCCAAAACAAAGCAGAGACTCACCTCTTACATCAGGAAACGTCTGCATATTTCGAGCTTTATCCGTTCTTTCATAATTCGTCTTTGAATTGTGATTGGCAGAAGCTTTTCCGGTTTGTGCCTCACTTTTTTTACAGCAGCGGCCCAAAACGATCTCCTAACATGTGGATTTTCTGCTTCCTGATCATGTGACGTGTGATGTGTGTGGATGAAGATCGGCTTTAGAGCTGAGATGTTTGTTCTCACAGTGCGGGGGCTCGTTCCGATGCCCACACAGTAAAAAAAAAAAAATGCAAATGACGACATTAGCCGTCATTGGCAGTGAACGGTTGGATTTAAAATGACGACTTTGGTCATCAATGGCAGTGAATGAGTTAATATTAACAAAATATTTGTAGTTATAATATGTTAGAACATTGTTACAATGCTTGAAAAAAAAAAAGATTAAAGCTAGCTTGTTTTGCTATTGTTTCTTTAAGAGTACACTAGCCTAGTTTGACACTGAAACAAACGTTTTGGGATGAGCACTGACAAAGTAAGGGAACAGCCTAAAAGACATGTTTTACAACTGTGAACTCCCTGGTTTTCTTTTAAACAATAACTTGAAAGGCAGTTTTTGTAATTATCCAAAATATATTAAAGTAACAGAAAGCAGTTTTCTGCCTGTTCACCCTACTGGTTGAAAGTGGAATTATAAACAACCCTGCTGCAGCCTACTAAAGCTAGCACTTACATTGAGCTTACACTAATAAAATAAAAAATAGCTAATTAGAGTTACTTTAAAACTCAAAATTAAAATGAAAACAAGGAATTTTTATTTCGCTAACATTTTTATCATTTGTTCCAGATGTTTTGAGGTATTTTTTGCTTAATGTGTTTTAAACAGAAATGAAAGGTTTCGATTGATGCATTTTGAGAACAATGAATTCTGTTTTTGTAATCGTGTTAATATTTTTAATATTTTAAATAAAGACCCAGTTGATGCAATGTGTGTGTGTGTGTGTGTGTGTGTGTGTGTGTGTGTGTGTGTGTGTGTGTGTGTGTGTGTGTGTGTGTGTGTGTGTGTGTGTGTGTGTGTGAGAGAGAGAGAGATGCATGGGTGGGAGGGGGATTGCATTTTCATGATATTGAAGTTGTGGTGTGAGAGCATGTGAAGGGGATCAGTTGCATGTTTCTCAAGCTTAATACCTGAGAGTTGATAGCCCTGGTGTGTGTGTGTGTGTGTGTGTGTGTACATTGAAAGTAATCTGGTGTATTAATGCCAAAACAATCGGTGACAAAGGGTTCTGTTTAGTCACCAATTGTTCATAATACTTATGGACAAGATTTCTAGGTGCAGCCAAGATGTTGAAGGGATGCATTTTGGTGGCCTAAGGATCAGATCTCTGCTTTTCGCAGATGATGTTGACCTTGGCTTCATTAGAACGTGATCTCCGGCTTTCACTAGAGTGGTTCACAGCTGGGACGAGAATCAGCTCCTCTAAATCTCTACCTCCAATCTAAACCACCAAATAGTTGCCAAGCGCGGCCACAGCTGCAGTTCATCCCGCGGGGATGGGTCAGATGCAGAGATGAATTTCACCAGTGTGGGATGAATTAATGGGACTTTAACTTTAACTTTGATAGGCAGATTGGTGCGGCGTCTGCAGTGATGTGGGCGTTGTACCGGTCTGTCGTGCTGAAGAGAGAGCTGAGCCAGAAGGTGAAGTTCTCGATTTACTGGGCGATCTATGTTCCTACCTTTAGCTATGGTCATGAGCTTTGGGTAGTGATCAAAAGACCGAGATTGCAGATGCAAACGGCCGAATTGAGTTTTCTCCGCAGGGTGGCTGGGCTCTCCCTTAGAGGTAGGGTGAGAAGCTCGGTCATCTGGGAGGGGCTCGGAGTAGATCCGCTGCTCCTCCACATCGAGAGGAACCAGTTGAGGTGGCTCAGGCATCTGATTAGGATGCCTCCTAGATGCCAACTTGATGAGGTTTTACGGGAAAATGACGTAATGTAATAATGTCATGTGTAATGATAGATTTTAATTACATTTAATTAAGGACCATGAGACATTAAAATTCATATCTAGTATGAATTCCATCTTACAGACACTGGGTTATTTAAATCAGAAGATTTGGTCTTTTTATTACAAGGATTTCCTAATAACACTTTGTAATAACTGAGAGACAAGAGAAGAGAGCGAGACTTTCAAACGTTTAAGGAAATTTATTACTAAATGATTTTAAACAATTTAACAAGACTAACTCTCTACTGATGGATGTTCTGTTGGAATGAAGTGTGAGGTGAATGGTGTGTGTGAATGATGTCAAATTCAGAACCTTCGCATCCGGAGAAACAAGGTCTGAGTGAGAGATGACGTTTTACTCCTAACTGATCCGAGTTCGACTCGTAGTCATAAACACATGAGACGCCATTTTGTGTCGCATCCACATACCGTCAGTGAGACCTCCGTACAGATCCGGATGCCAGGTCCACGGACCCTCCTTTCGGTACTGGAGCCAATGGTACAGCGTCATAGCACGACAAACCAGTCTTTGGATAGTCTCCAGGTAAAAAGCGACAGGCGTTTGTCAGCATCAAAAAGAGGCCCTCCTTGGGTCAGCAAGTTCAGCTTTTATTCTGAAAGGTACGGTTGCTTGGTTGGTAACAACGACAGATTTTTCCCAGCTTGATGGTTCTCAGCTTCAAAAGAGAAGTCTAGATGGCCTGTCCATACTTCACTTAACATGCGGTGAACTTCATGGGATCTTGAGAACTGACTTTAAGATGGCGTTGGGACTGTTTTATTCATCTGGATGTTTTTGATTCTGAACCATCAACATAAATATACTGGACGTCTTCTTTCCATAGGCTCCAATATCACGTTTTTGTAATAAAATGGGAGGTGGCCACCTCCGCCATTTTGACCATGTCACAGGTTCCATCGAGTCCAGACAATTCCATAAAAGGGAAGAGAGGAGGAGCTGAGGGCGGAGCTGTAAGGCTGGCATCAACTGACGACGCCCGGTCGAACTAGCTACAAGCTAACCTGAAGCTATACCCAAAGCTAATGCGGAGGTGAGAGCTAAGCTAACGGAGGTAGCAACCTAGCTACAACCGGAGTTAACTGTGCACAACACCAGAGCTTCTGAGTCAGAGATACGCCGGGCTGACCGCTGGGTAAAACCGGGTGGAACACAGAGGTCTCGGAGAGCTCCACAAGCCAGTAGCCGCACAGCAGACAGAAGCCGCTGCGATCTGAGATGCGCAGAGCTGCCGCTGGGGAGAACCAGGTGGAAAGGTTTCCATCCCAGAGCTCCACAAGCCGGCAGCCTGCGCAGCACACAGAAGCCGCAATCAGACAGAGATGCGTCGAGCTGCAGGGAGGGGAGAAACGGGTGGAAAACATCGGTCTCCCGAGAGCTCCATAAGCCGATAGTCGGAACCCAGCTCCACCAACATGTTATATTTCAACCCATTTTCTAAAGTGCAGCATTATGTTAAATGTACTGGGTTTTACCCTGTTTCATTTAAATTTCATGGTTAAACAGTACATGTTAAAATCTAAGCTCAGCTCAGCAGTGACCTAAAATACATAAATATAATTTTACTTACCGAAAAAAATGAAGTGGAGACTCCTTGGACGCTCTATTAGTGCAATTAATGCCACAGCAAGTAATTTTGTCCAACAATTGCACAAATAATATCCAAAAAAGAATACACAAACACAGAGACTCAAAATCCTGGAACAGTTTCCAAGCCAGACCGAGGCTCTACTCAGGCCTTTCCACGGAGCTAGCTCTGTGGTCACGTGGGTCGGATGCTCATTAATTATACAGAATTTTAGGCTTTTAATACACTTAAACAGAAGAGTGAGAAAAAAAATCACCCCCTCAGAGTTGTCATGAGTGTAAACTAGATAATTTAAACAAAAAACATGTTTTGGTACCAGGCTGTAAACATGTTTATTTCTGCTGTGAAATTGGTATTTTTAACATGGGAGTCAATGAGGATTTGCTCGCTTCTGACACCAGCCCCCAGCGGATGAGGGTGGAACTGCAATTTTTCTTACTTTCGGGTTGGGCCCAATTTTAGAGCCGCATTGTGGGGGCTTGTTCTGAACGAATCAAAGCTGACAGATTTTTAAACACCACTGAGACTCTGCCACGCTTCAGACTAGGAAGGTTCTGATTGGATCAGCAACAGCATTGTGTCATGTGATTATTTACCTTAGTGCATCAGCATGTCTAGTGACTAGAATAAGTCATTTACTTATTAAAAACATATCAATCATAATATTGTGATTTCACAGATCGGTCACATTGTATTATTGACTAACAGTTGTTTTGATTAGCTTTATTGAAAATAGAGTTCTTTGATTTTAATAAAAGAAAAGAAAAGAGTCTTCATCTTCTGTCTTCATTGCTGGAACGTAAACAGTTTAGAAGCGAATGCATGACCTTGAGGCTGTTTCATGCACTCTGGCGCTGTGTCAAAAGGAACTGTGGAAAAAGTCAAATACCTTTGGAGGAATAGCTCATTCATCGCGTTACACATGCTTGTGATGTTTTATATCTAAATGTCCTAAAAACAATAAAAAAGAAAAAGGTATTGTAAAAACATTCCTATTCACTCTTTACAAGCTTATTTATCGTTTTTGAAAGTTATGTAAAAGGTTGTAATATCACTCAGTTTAACCATTTTTTAGGTTGTTTAGTCCTCATAATGGACAATAAATTCTGTGAATTTGGAAATATTTGCTCTTGATTGCCTAAGAGAAACAGAATATTTCAGAGGAACATAATTTCCCACAACACCCGTTTCACGTGGATAAGAGCAGCTTTGTAAACAAGCTTGCTACCAGCTAATGGATCTGGAAAAAGATAGAAAACAATCTTTTATGGAGTGATCACTGGCAGCGCCATGGCTGGCAAAGGAGCGCTAGCGAGCCGTGAACACGCCGTAGAGATCTAATAAACAATGCTGACCACCAGCTAATCCTGAGCCATGGCTGGCGAGCCAGGGACACGCTGTACGTAAACACGTGTGACAAGGTGAGCATCCTGTCACTGTACCCTGATTGATCATGCGCCCTGGCTACTTGACCACGGGGATGTCCCTTTGGCTGACTGGTTAGCACGCATGACTCTCACCCAGGAGTCTGGGGATCGAATACCGCCTGGGCCCTGTTTCTCCACCTTGCCACATGGATTACCAGCTGAAAGAGACCCGTGTCCACAGTTAACATTTGAGAAGAAGTCTTCAGGGAAGCACGTCCTCTCTGTAACACATGAAAAAAACATCACCGTTAGTAAAGTGTTTGTGGAGATCAAGTAAACCATGCTGATTTAGCCACTGGCTAGCGGACAAGCGCTGGAGTGCGTTGGGAGACGTGGCAGGCTGCAGGAATGAGCAAATATAACTGTTGAACCATAAGCCAGGGGTTTAATCCTGGTTCTTGTGTCTGCTACTTTGCCCACAAAGAAGTGTATAAAATCATTACGTCTAGCAACCGAAGGCTCAGAGATCCTAGTATCAAACACTGACAACACAGCATCAAGAGTTTTGAACGCAATGCAAGTGTTCCGAGGATTAGGTGCAATGATATCGGTGAGGAAGCTAGACTCTGCTAACTTCACTCTTTCTTGGTAGTCAGACCAGCTTTGTTTCAGGGTTTCCCAAGACACCTGTAGCCTGTCCTTCCTCCATTTTCGCTCTGCCCTCCTGCACTCGCGCCTGAGAGCCCTTGTCCCAAGATTTAGCTTAGGCTCACCCCTGGGCCTTCGTGGTTTAATTGCAAGCAGGTGCAACTATGTCCGAAGAAGTCCTGAGCATGGCATCAAACTGGAAGATGAGATTGTGTGTGCTGAGAGGCACAGAGGACTGACAGCGGACACCAGCATTGAACACAGCTGAGAATTATGTTGCTGTAGATGGGTTAATACCCTGTAGCCAGATTGCAAGAGTGTATGTCTTTACAGGTGGGCACAGCGCTTCAAAATGAAATAAAACAGGCAAATGATCGGAGAAAATAGCATCCTCGATGGTTAGGTCCAAAATGAGTAAGTCAAACAACAGCACTAGGACCTAGGTGTGCCCACTTTCCTGAGTGGGCCCACCAACATGTTGGTGCAGATTAAAAGAGTCCAGTAGATGTATAAAGTCCTTAACCAGTGTTTTTTCAGGACAACAAACATGAATATTAATATCCCCTACTAATAGAACATGATCATAGAATGGTTTAATCTCTCCCAGTAACTCAGCAAATTCATTTAAAAGTGAATGATTGTACTTAGGAGGGTGATAAAGTAATACCACCAACAACACAAAAGACTGACCAAAATCCCACATGCAGACTTCAAAACATGTGGACTGTATCCCAGGGTAGAGATGTGAGTTGCTGAGACAAGATTTAAAAATAGTCAAGAGTCCCCCACTCCTCCCGGAAGCCCTAGGGGCATAAAAAAAAGTTATTCGGCAGAAACTCACTAAGGTTGCTGGGATTTCCGGCTGGGACCCAGCTTTCCGTGATGCATAATAATCCCAAGTTGTTAGAAGTGTAAAATTAATTCAGAATAAAAGTTTTGTTATTGACAGATCTGGCATTCACCAGTCCAAACCTGATGGGTGTGGAGGCTACCAATCCCTCCAGGTAGCCACCTGATGAAGCCACTCCAGATGGGAGACGCAGGACCTCGCGCGCAATCAAACCCACCACATGGTCGAAACGATCTGCTGCAGTTCAAACCAAGCTTCAGAATGGAGACGAAAGGTGATTTAAGTGACTTTGAAGGTGGCATGGTTGTTGGTGCCAGATGGGCTTGTCTGAGCTTTACAGAAACTGCTGATCCGAGGGATCTCTTCACTCAGCCTCACCTTGGGTGCCTGTGCCTTCTTCCAATTTTAAGCTGCACCTAGATACTGAGTTCTGGGGGGCAGGGGGGATTGGGGTCTTCCAATCTGTAAAATGCACTCTTAACAACAGGCCTCAACACCACACTGGAGCAGGCGGAGAGAGACTCAGTCTTCTCACACTTCTGTTCTTTGTTTGCTGACCGGGACTGGAGGCTAGGAGGGGGAGCTGGCTGTCTGGTTGGGGTCTGGGGTGGTGGGTCAAAGATTTCCATTCCAGAACTGTGTATCATAAGAAAGCAGTTCTGGATTACCTCTCAATCTGTGTGTTGATAAAACCTAGCCTAGTGAACTAGACCAAATTCTTTCTTTGTAAAGAATGGTCTAGGCATGCTCCATTGGAACCTCAGCAGCTCCTACCAGGACTCTGGCTAGCCAATCACAGCTCTCTAGAGGGATTTCAAGCACAAAAAGAGCTGTGATTGGTCCATAATGGTGGGCCAATCATAGTGCTCTATCTGCTTAGTGAACAAATCACAGAGCTTTATCTGCTTTGTGGGCCAATCAGGGCGCTCTATATGCCTGGTGGGTGGGATGATGCAACAGAGTGAAACAAGAGTATGTCACATTCATTGTCCAGTAGCATGCGGAGATCATTTGAAAGACAACGGTAGAACCCGCCCCACAACCGAGAGCCGTCAATGGAGCGTGGCCAGACTAAATAATACATTTATTTAGTCTGGCTTGCCAGGCTAGATAAAACCAGGCTGAGAGGCCAAAGAAAGGCCTGTGTGTGTGTATGTGTGTGTGTGATTTGACTCCTGATCTCCTAATGTCGTAAATAATGAATGTGCTTCACTACTCTGCTGTTTTTGGTAAATATATGTTGTGGCTTTAGCCTTTTACTGACCTCTGTGGGGTTAGTCCAGGATGCAATAAAGTTTCAGGGGAGACACTGCGTCTGGGATATGTTTATGATTGGCTTAAGCAGACCCCTGGAGTGGAGAAGACAAGGAATGGGGGCACGCCTCCCCCGTTGACTAATGACCACAAGAAAGGAATGAGGTAATGCCTGAAGAACACCAAGCAAGAGACGCTGGGAGGAGTCACAAGTGGACCGGGCAGAGTGCTTCATGAAACGGGAGTTGTCATGGAGACGAAGAGGAGACAAGAAGGAGGGGGGAGTGAAGTAATAAAAAGGGGGGCCCATGAGAGTTCTGGGGTCTGGGAAAGTTCTGTACGAGTTTGGTGGAGCTCGGTGTTTTTTGTCTTACCCGCTGCGTCGGTGTGATTCTGTTTGGATTAATCTTTTTTCATCCTGTTAAATAAAAACCTTGGTTTCTTATTGTAAGAAACTAAAAAGGATTTCCGTGCCTGGGGTCTCCGTTGGTGTCGTGTAACCGAAAAGATGAGATGCTGGTTACTTGTTATCCCGCTCCAAGAGGTTTAGGCATGTCATAGATAAGCCACAGATGACTAAGATGTGTTTGGGTTTGAACCGAGTCTTTCTTTGAGCTGCAAGCAGTTTGTGCTGCCAGGATCATAGTCTAGGTTATCTCTGATTGCTAATCAGCTCCTATAGCGTGCAGGCAGTTTTAAAAAGCGGCTGAATATCACGCCCACGCAGAAATAGAAATACAAGTCAACCCTGAGACGTAACATCTGTTAAAGAGTGAGCTAGTTGTGGAAGACGGCTTGTAACACTGGGGTTGAGCACCCTTGGCCAGCTTTGGTTGTTGAGTACAGAGCTTGACCCTCCCTTTTTAGCCGTTTTTCATTTATAGAGCTCCGGATGTCACGTGACTCAGAGAGTAGATGCCATGTTGGCAGGCAACAATAAATACCATACACAGTTGAGGAAACGTTGGTTTAAGTACCTGATATGAAGCGGTCGCTGCATAAGTGAAAACTTTTACTCTCGGGATCCCACAGCTTCATTTTAGCCTGGAGGCTAGCGCGTTTCATTGCAATGATCCAACGTTTGCGGCGTTGCGGATCTTGGGGAATCCTGTAGAAGGCTCTTTCCTTTTGTCGTCCCCGTCTGTTCTGCATCCTGGGGCACAACAGGAATCTACCATATTTCCCGTTTGACTGAGATTTCTGACAGTAACAAATAGTCCAGCTGCGGGCTTCTGCCTGCCAAGATGGCGCTGTTTCGATTTGAACTGTTGCATACCGGGAGAAGTGACGTCAACTCCCGGAGCTCTATAGCTGATCGTAGCTTTGTGAGCTGCAGCTGGAGCTACTTGAATCAAGGATACATGTGATCATTCCAGTGTGAGCTGTTCTTTGGATCCACCTGGAGTTTCCAGATCCTGACGGGCGCTACATCGGGTTTTGGCATACTGGTGAGTTTCGGCCTCCCTTCAACCCATTTAGACATCCCCTGGAACTGTGGACAAAGGTCTTCTGGCACTGGAGCAGGATGAGACAGCAGATAACTGGAAACTTCTTGTGAACACGGTTATAGAATGGCTGGAATATTCTTGTGATGTTCACTACAAAACGTTTATAATCAGTAACTTAAAAGCAGTTTTAACCTTCAGTAACAGATCAAGAAATGAGGTGAAACACAGAAGACAATGGGCAGAAGTTTGCATTCACACATTAACATTATGACACACACACACACACTTCAATGGACTGAATCGAAGACAATATTAGACAGAGGTGAAGGTTTATAAATGATTATCAGGCTGCTGTAAAATCGAATCTCCGGTCCAGTCCTTTTCTTACTTCAGTCTGGATTACTGTAATTCTCTCTATGCTGGAATTAACCAAGCCTCAGTGTTTAGACTACCCCTGGTCCAAAATTCAGTGGCTAGGTAGCTGATGGGGACCAGAAGAGGGGATCATATCCCTCCCATATAGGCATCCTTGCATTGGCTGTGTCATGTTCCTGAGCTGAGGTGAGCACTCTGTCCTCACTAACCATCTCTGAGGCAATCTTCCACAGGTGAGGAGCGGAGGGAGCTGCAGGTGCGCCGAATCTCCAATCTGGAGGTCGGGTATAAAGGGAGGATGGAGACGCCACACTACGCCGGATGATCGCACCTGTTAGGTAGCCCCAGCCTCTTGACATTGCTTTTCCGTTTCGCTTGTTTGAACTTGATATTGGATTTTTTGGCTCTGAACCTTGGACTGTATTTTCTGGATTAAGCTTTTGGATTCTCCTCTGAACCCTGTTTGTTTCTCTGTTCAGGAAACATCACTCTGTACAATTCTCTCGCCGCTCAAACCCCGGATTTCCTGAACCACGTCCCATCCTCCTCTACAACTCCTGCCTGTTCATCTCCGCTGCCTCACCCGCCTCAGTCCGCTGAAGCTCCACCAGCACTCACCTTGGCAACCCACTTTTCCCGCACATATTGGACTATTACATGGACTAAAGCCGAACGGCACATCCTCACTGGACTTTCCAGTGCGCCTTTTGTTCCTGTTTTAAAAATAAAAGAACCTTTCTTTTACTCACCCATGGAAGTCGTGTTGATTCTGCATGTCTTGAATTAAACACCTCCCTCGAGTAATGACAGGCCGCCTTCTCGTTTTAGAATTTATTTTTAAGATTCTGATTTTTGTTTTTATATCACTGCTGGGAACTGCCCCACCGTATCTGTCTGACCTTCTATCCCGGTATGTTCCATCATGGCCGCTTAAGTCTACAGTGGATTCATTGGTAGTTCCAAAGGTAAATCAGGTCACCAGAGGAGAGCGGGCCTTTTTATTTCTTGGACCTAAATCATAGAACAATGTCTTGATAGTGGTCAGGCAAGATCTGTCACTGTAGATTAAAGACTCGTTTTTATTCTTTGGCTTTAATAAAGGAGGTGGAGTGAGTTTTGTTTTATTTTGTTATCTCTTACTGCTACTGTTTGGGAGATTGTTTTTATTATTTTATTTGTCATTCTTTTAATAAAGTTGTGCTCAGTTGTACAAAGTTGGTGTGTTTTTACTGTATCATGTATACGAAATGTGTAAGAAAGTGTTTTATTAGTAAGTGATGATGATGTTGATATACAGTCGGCCTGAATCTGCGGTCTCCGGGTCTGCAGCCGTACCCTTCACCCCTGAACACACAGACTTCAATACATCACACAAACCTGCAGGTGGCGGTAGTGCACCTTTACGCTGGTCACCGACCACCGGAAGAAGCAGAAACCGGAAGCTGCTAGCAGAGCTAGCTTGTTGTTCTGGTGTGTGAGGAGAATATTTGAGGCTCTGCAGTAAAAATGTCTTCACTTCAGTCTCTGGGAGAGTTGATCAGCTAAAGCGACTAACTGCTGCTGCTGCAGAAATCCTCTCACCAGGCTGTGGAAACTTTCTTCTCCTCCTCAACAACTTGGTGGAGTTCTTTCCAGAACCGGAGAAGATATTCTGCGGTCTTCGTGACAATCGGAGCTCCAGAATCAGGTTGTGGGTGAGAAAAGCTTTTCTCTAGACTTCCTACCCTCTGGATCTGCTGCTGTTCCTTTGGCCTCTCTGAGAAACGCGCTCGTTTTGCTGCTTTCATCAGATTGAAGAGGTTCCCTCTATCAGACTCGCTCATCTGAGTTGGTCATGATGCAGGATCGCTGCTCGCTCTCTGATCCATCCTGCTCACACTCTCTGACGGTAAAGCCCCGAATCTGAATGTGACTCTGGAGGAAAAAGCTGTTAGCTCTACTCCGTGAACTCTGGTGAGCAAAGGTCCTCTTTTCCAGACTGGATCTGTCCTCAGCTGATCAGAACCAAAGCGTTGGATCTTTAATCTCCTGCGTTGTTCTGAAGCAGCATCTTAATCAGCTCTCCTGCTTTGTTTCTGTTGCAGTTGTTAGCTAAACACGGCTAAAGAAAACCTGCTACCACTTCAGGATCATCCATCAGCTGGGACTGATTCATCGTGTGTTCTTCACCACCTGGACCTGGACAGCATGGACACAGGTACTCATTCATTCATTCATTCATTCATTATGGTGGGACATTGAAGTGACATTTTGAGTACCTCTCTCATGAGGTTAATGGTCTGCAGGGCATTAGCCAGAAACTGAGTGTCCCACAGGAAAGAGTGACACACTTATCTAACCATTTTCCATGTTTTTGATTGATTTATTTTCTTGCCTAAACAAGTTAAGATTAACTAGCGAATTACTGCAGATAATATATGATGATTTTGTGTGTTTTATTGCTGACTATATTAAAATAAGGTTGAAGATGATGCTTTCTCTCTGCCTCTTGATCAGCTGACCAGTGGGTCTGACGACTGTGCAGCACAGGGAAGGTTCAGACTCGTGTTTTATTCCTGAGCCCTGTTGTCGCTTAATATTAAAACGGAAGAAACAGTTAAAAGTGGGGATCTGTGTCGCAAAGGTACAAATTACACAGAGGCTTCCAGGGGAGCCCAGTGAGAGGGGGCCTTTTTTTCCTTGGCCCTCAAAATGCCTTGATACGGCCCTGGGTGGGGGACTGAGTTTTCAAGGCGATCTAAATTGTATTAAATATATAAATATTACATGCTTGTAAATTATTGCTTTATAAAGGTAAAGCGTGTAGTGGGATACACAGGGGGCAGTGAGTGTTGTCCTTGGTCCCAAATTGGTCTACAGTTCCTTTCCCAAACCGTTGCCAGATTTGAGCCACCGCCAGTAGGTGCAGGCTCCACTCCTCCTTCACCACTGGGCCACCCCTGAATAGCAAGTCTGCTCCCAGATTCAAGCACCCTAGAACATGAGTCACTGTGAGAGAAAGAAGCCCTACGCTGCACCACTAGAGGAGTTTGCTGGGCAGGTCCAACAGAGGAAGCGAACAAGTGCCCCCCCGTCTGTTTATGTATAACAGCACTGTAGTGTTGTCTGTTCATGTCAGGACATGCTGATTGTTTAGGATCATCTGAAAATGTTTCAAGGCTAGCAAGTCTGCTAATAGTTACAAACAGTTAATGTGGCGCTTGGACTGGGCTAAAGTCCAGACCCCTCTCACCATCACGCCATTGCAAATGGCTCCCCAACCCTTATGGAGGCATCCATGGACACCACCTTGTGGAAGAACACTCTGCCTATTGGCAACAAGCCCCCCCCCCCCCCCCCCCCCCCCCCCCCCCCACACACACACACACATACACACAGGCAAAGTGCCAACATGCAAGCGGCTGTTATTGTTAGTTTCTGTGCAGGTGTGGTATTGTGCATAGCTGGTGAGCATGGTTCCAGCATTGAAATGTTTGCATCATGAGCGCTTTGAGTGGCACCACACATGTCATTGATGCCATCATGGCCAACAGTTGCAAGATAGTTTGGAAACGCAGTTTGCGTCCCAACTGAAATAGAGCCAGACGCCCGCAGAACGCTGTTATTTTGAGCTCTGAGAGACACGCTTAGCCAGCCACGGAATAAATCTGCAGACCCAAAAAGAGAACTGACTCGAGGTCAGTGAGCTCTTTTGGAAATTCACCAGAAAACCCAGAGACAGGAACTGTTGTAGCGGTTCTGTTGCTCATTCTCTAGAGCTGGGTGTCAGCACCCAGTTGTCCAGATATGTTAGGCTGCCAGTTCGCCCCTCTCTCTGAGAGGGGCTAACACCATCTCCACACATTCTGTACACGTGCGTGGTGTGAGCGACAGAGCGAAGGGTGGGAGCTTTCTTCAGTTGAATGAAGATAAGACTGAGATCCTCATCTGTGCCCCAGACAAGCTGGTTCCCAAAGTCAGAGACTCTCTTGGTCAGCTTGCTTCCCACACCAAACCTTCCGTCAGGAATTCTGTCAACATGTTCATGTTTTTAGGAGCAGGCCCAAGACTCACCTTTTCAGCTTAGCTTTTACCCGACATCTGTTTTTAGTCGCATTTCCTGTTTTCTTAATTAACTTATTTATAAAATTATTTTCATTTTAGTGGTATTAGACATTTATGTTCTAGTGTTTTACTATCTCTTTAATCAGTTTTTATTAGTTGGTTTACTATACCTTTTAGCTATTATTATTATTATTATTATTTATTTATTTAATTTCATTTTACTTATTTTAATCATACCAGTGTTTCCTGGTGGGGCCCTCTGCCTCGGGGGTGGTGGTCGACTGTGGCGGCCTGGGCGCTCCTAAGGGTGTGCTTAGGCGGCGGTGGGAGTTTCTGCCCTGCCTCCCCGGGCGCCCTGGGTTGGTGCCTTGGCTGCTGCCGTCCATCAACTACTGTCGAGGCAGATGGCTCACCTGATGGCGTGTCATTCATTACCTAACCCATCTGAACTCAGCCTAGTGTTTACTTATACTGTTTTTTAGGTTTTGCGTGTGTGTGTGTGTGTGTGCCTGGGAAATGGGTTGTGTTATGGTGGTCATTTTAATCTGTTAACCACTTTGAGCTGCATTTTCTTATGAATGAAAATTGCTATACAAATAAAGTTTGATTGATTGACACGTATGAATATAAAGGTATGGTGGTCTGTATCATCATGTGTCTGTGTTTCCTACAGATGTTCCACAGCTGGTGCTGGTTAAAGAAGAAGCTCCTGAAGAACAGAGTGCTGGTGTGGACCAGCAGGACCCAGAACACCTCCACATAAAGGAGGAACAGGAGGAGCTCTGGACCAGTCTGGAGGGAGAGCATCTCTGTTTGAAGGAGGAGACTGAAGCTGTCGGGTTTCCTGTTACTGCTGTTTCTATAAAGAGTGAGGATGATGAAGAGAAACCTCTGGTCTCACAGCTTCATCAGCAGCAAATAGAAGACAGAGATGTTCCCATCAGCAGCTCAGCTGACCAGATGGCAGCAGAAACTGGTGGAGGAGCAGGAACTAGCAGGAACCCAGATCTGAACCCTCATGAACAAACATCTGATTCTTCAGAGACTGAAGTTAGTGGAGATGATGATGATGATGATGATGATGATGATGATGATGTGAATCGGGACTCTGAGCTGTCAGACTCTGGGTCTGAAACTGGAGATGAAGATGATGACTGGAATGAGAGCAGGTCTTCTGAGTCAGATGGTAAGTCTGTCAACAAGTTCTTCAGCTGTCCTGAGTGTGGTAAAACAATTTGACCACAAGTGGTCAGAGAACAGACAGAAATCTCTGAAACAATTTTCTGATCCTTCCCCTAAGCCTTGATGGTGAACAGTCTTTGTTTTCAGGTCATGTGTGAGTTGTCTTGATCTCCATGTTGCTACTCTTCAGAGAATATTCAGACAGGAGGTAAACTCATAATTGGCTCCCTTAAATGCTATCTTTCATAATTGGATTCAAATTTCAATGAAAAAAAAAAAGTACAATACATCAGCTGTACAAGCATTTTTGAATATTTTTATATCCTGTTCCAAAAGACAAAACAGGCTCCTCCTTTTTTTTTAATAAATATATGTAGGGTTAGCATACATTTTTATTTTGGGTGCTTTTTAAGCTCAATATGCTACACTACATTTGACCAATAAGATGTGAATTTCTATATAAATATGGAAATCCAGTCTGATTGGTCTTTGAATGTTTAACCAGAAGATTTAGAATTCTTTGTTTTTTCTGGGATCGTAAGACACTTCCTATTAATTCAGACAGAGTCACGTTTACAAAAAGTAAGAAATTTATTTTCTAAACAATTAAAAACATGACAACTAGGTACACTTTATGTGATGAATGAATCTAAGTGGATGGAATGTGAGGTGTGATGATGTGTGAATGTCATATTATCAGAACCTTCAATTCAAGTTTATTTATATAGCGCCAAATCACGACAAGAGTCGTCTCAAGGCACTTCACATAATAAACATTCCAATTCAGGTCAGTTCATTAAGCCAATCAGAAATAATGTTTCCTGTATAAGGAACCCAGCAAATTGCATCACGTCACTGTCTAGTGTCAGTGACGTGATGCAATCCTCATGCTAAGTAAGCATTTAGCGACAGTAGAGAGGAAAACTCCCTTTTAACAGGAAGAAACCTCCAGAGGATCCTGGCTCAGTATAAGCAGCCATCCTTCACGACTCACTGGGGATCGAGAAGACAGAGCAGACACACACACACACACACACACACACACACACACACACACACACACACACACACACACACACACACACAAAGACAAATAATGTGTCTATAGTTTTATTGTGATTTCTTAGTAAATATTCTATTTGGCGACAGATAAACTTTATTGTATTTATCCTAGTGGATCTATAATTAAACGGATAAACTAGTAGTAGCACATCCAACGTCAAGGAAAGCAAAAACTTATTTTCAGGAGAGGGAGGATGTTTAAGTGGTTAGCAGCAGTGTGCTAGATGATGGCCCCCTCCATGAGGCCACCACAGCTCAGCAGAACGTCATTGTAGCTTCTTCTGGGGAGAAAAACACTTAGAGAAAAAATAAAGTTAACAGCTGAAATTGCAGAAAATAATACAGTTAAAGAGCAGATTGTAGAAGAAAGTAGTAGAGTGTGAAAAGTGGTCAGTGTGTCCTCCAGCAGTCTAAGCCTATAGCAGCATAACTACAGAGATAACTCTGGATAACGTTGCCTTTTTAGATGGAGGCATGTTGGAGGCAGGGCAAGGGAGAGCCGTCTTTATCGACTGTACACTCCACCTCCCTCTACTCCCCCACTTGTCCAGATTTAGGCTAACATCAGATTTTAACCTTAGGCCCTATCAAATAAAAATGTTTAAGCCTAGTCTTAAAAGTAGACAAGGTGCCTGCCTCACGGACTAAAGCTGGGAGCTGGTTCCACAAGAGAGGAGCCTGATAACTAAAAGATCTGCCTCCCATCCTAAGTTTAGATATTCTTGGAACCACCAGTAGACCTGCAGTCTGAGAGCGAAGTGCTCGGTTAGGAACATATGGAACAATCAGATTACTGATGTATGATGGACCTTGATTATTAAGAGCTTTATATGTGAGAAGAAGGATCTTAAAATCTATTCTGAATTTAACAGGTAGCCAATGTAGGGAAGCTAAGACAGGAGAGATATGATCTCTCTTTTTAATTCTCATCAGAACTCTAGCTGCAGCATTTTGGACAAGCTGAAGACTTTTAACTACATTCTGTGGACTTCCTGAGAGTAATGAATTACAGTAATCTAGTCTTGATGTAATAAATGCATGAACTAGTTTTTCAGCATCACTCCTGGAAAGGATGCTTCTAATCTTAGCAATATTCCGAAGGTGGAAAAAGGAAATCCTACAAACCTGTTTAACTTGGGATTTGAATGACATGTCCTGGTCGAAGATAACACCAAGGTTCCTTACTTTGTTCTCGAAGATTAACGTAATGCCATTCAGGTCAGGTGTTTGACTAAGCAATTTCCTTTTCTGGATTTCTGGTTCAAAGATGAGAACTTCCGTCTTGTCTTGATTTAAAAGCAAAAAGTTAAGAGTCATCCAAGTTTTTTATGTCCTCAAGATAGAACTGAAACAACTAATCGATTTAATCGATTATAATCGATTATTAAAATAGTTAACAACTTTTTTAGTCATCGATTAGTTGTTTAATAATCATATTTTACCGCATAAAGTCTATTTTTTACCACAATCTGACATCGGTTACAAGCTGTTAAATTTGCCGCCAGTGTGTGGCAGTAATGAGCCACTGATCTACCAGTGGAGCCGTAGAAGAAGAAATGAGCCAATGGGTGCCCTCGGTTTTCATGACGTATCACGTTACTGACGCTCATCTTGCTGTGAGAAAATGGCGGAACAAGAGGAAATACGGAAGAAAAATAGAAGCGACAAAACTGAAGAGAAACCCCGGACAAAAACCTCACGAGTATGGGAGCACATTTGAGACGAAAGCATGTGGGGGCTGATGCAGCAGAGGAAGAGCACCGCGGTGAAGTGAGCCGTCATTTGGAAGAGCCAGCCCGGTAAGTAACAGAAAATAAACAAGCTGGACTTAGTGTTTTAGCTGAGTTCGTTATAGTGGATGTTAAACATGTTTTTTTGCCGCGTCAGTCTGCGGTGTTCTACTTCTGATTGACTAGATGCAATCGTGAATCTCCTCCGTGTTGTGTATCATGCGCTTGCCAAATTTAGCACGTCTGTTTATAAGAATGTTCTCGTTAAGAGAAAAACGGCACAAACCCATAACTATGTTCCTCATTCAAAAAAGGACAACTCCGCGGAGAAAAATATACAGACAAGCTGTGTCCAGGTGAATATAACGCGGCATAGTTGTACACTTTCAATTTTTAAATACAGGAGAAATTCAGAAAAAGTCATTTTTTTACTATTAAAAGGCTGTTTTACTATCTAACGCTGTAAAACGCCTCACAACACATTTTTATCATGTTTCTTAAACAGTATTACACAAAATAAACATTTTTCACATTTCTCTGGCTAATTTAAACACTCCCGACTCAAAGTAAAAACCTCATGAGCTTCTTACTTAGAGCTTTTTAATAGTAAAAATGTTTTACTTTTTTTCTGAATATCTCCTGTTGCGGGCTATTTTGTAGAACGTAACCCTCAAAATAAACGATCACTGTATATTGTTAATTAATTCAAATAATATAATATTGATTTAGTGTTGTAGTGTGTGTGCTGCTTTATTTTATATGTGTACTTATTTCAGTCTATTTGTGTTTCTTATGCAGAAAAAAACAAGCAACGATGGACAACTACATGGGGAAGAAGACACTCACCCCCCAGCAATTCATACCACTTACAAACTCTATTCTAAACATGCTGGTAAAAGACATGAGGCCACTATCCATGGTGGAAGGAGAAGGCTTCCAGCTAATGCTAAAAATTATTCTGGACTGATATTTTGCACTGTTTAGCTCATTTTATACTGCTGACTGTGTTCATGTGCAATAAAATAGATTGCAGTCAACTGCACAATTCTCTTATGTTTTTTTGTTCTTAACTGAAATGCATCCATCACTTGTATAGGTTAAATAGCTAAACAATAACAAACCGATTAATCGATTAATCGAAAAAATAATCGACAGATTAATCGATTATGAAAATAACCGTTAGTTGCAGCCCTACCTCAAGACAAGCCTGTAATCTACCCAACCGATTAGGTTCATCAGGGTTAATGGATAAATATAACTGAGTATCGTCAGCATAACAGTGGAAGTTTATCCCATGCTGTCTAATGATTTTACCAATTGGGAGCATATATATAGTAAAAGGAATTGGTCAAAGCACTGAACCCTGTGGTACTCCACAAGTAACCCTGGAGTATGAAGAAGATTTTTCATGTACATTTACAAAATGAAATCTGTCAGACAGGTAGGATTTAAACCAGCCTAGCGCTGTTCCTTTGATCCCTACAACCTGTTCAAGTTTTTCTAAAAGAACATTGTGATCAACTGTGTCAAAGGCAGCACTGAGATCTAACAAGACCAGAACAGACACAAGATTCTTATCTGAGGCCATGAGAATATCATTTGTAACTCTCACTAACACAGTTTCAGTGCTGTGATACTCTCTAAAACCAGACTGAAATCCCTCAAACAGAGCATTAGTGTTTAAATGCTCACATACTTGGATGGCCACTATTTTCTCCAGGACTTTGGATAAAAATGGAAGGTTAGATATTGGTCTATAATTCATTGGGTCATCTGGATCCATAGAAGACTTCTTAAGTGAATGTTTGATTACAGCAACCTTAAAATCCTGTGGTACATATCAATTTACTAAGGATAGATTGATTATGTTTAGAATGGGGGCAGTAACCAAAGGAAATGCTTCTTTAAATAATTTGGTTGGGATTGGATCCAAAATGCAAGTTGAAGGTTTAGATAAAGCTAATATTTTTTGATAACTCTGAAAGCTCAACTGGATCAAAACGGTTCAAACACAGATGAGGTTCTACAGTTACCCCTGATGCTGCCTCACTTACTGAGGAAGAAGATATCGCATTAGGGAGGATGCTAAAGATTTTGTTTCTAATAGAATTAATTTTACTTGTGAAAAATCCCATAAAGTCGTTACTGCTGAGGGCTAAGGCAATAGATGGCTCAGAGCTATGATTCTGTGTAAGTTTAGCAACTTTACTGA